AAGTCAGTTCGTACTCTTATTGTAACTAAGATATCTGTACCTTAATTTCAATGCTGATGAAACTATTTGATTTTGAGTCTTTAACAATTAATTATAACCAATCCCAATAAATAAAACACAAAAACAATCTCAAACCTTTGTTTTTCAGTACGTCTTTCTTTAGGTATTCAAAAAATAATAAACAAGTTATTTACTTATTAGTTGTTTTACAAATACTGAAATAGTTAGCTATGCAACAGTAGTAGTACTACTACTACTATTACTTATTAGTACTTAGTAGACGTACAAGTTACAACTACACTATTTTCAGTATAAATTATTAATCTTACATTCTAAACGTCTGCCTTGTGAATATTCGTTAGCTTTAGAAATTTAAACATTGTTTTACTATCAAGAACTTCAAACTTACAATTTGAAATTCTTTCCTCCTTTCAAAAGCAGTTTTAATACCTTTATCTTGCCACAGTTTTTTCACAGTACCTGCTAAATTTAAAAATGTTTGTGTGTCCAAGTTCGTGCTGTTATCAAACCTTAAAATATTATAGGCATTCTGGGAATTATTTGGATTCTCCCACAGAATACCTAGCTTGTCTCTTGCATCTACTAATACTTTCATTCCTCTAATGATATTCTGATAAACAACACTTTTGAATTCTTTCAACGTTTCTTCGTCAAAGTTATGACCGTGGATAATCTTCATTTGCTTCAAAAAAGTACTTTTACCACTTTCACCAGCTCCTAAAAGAAGTAATTTAACTTGCCGCCGAATAATATGTTTGTCTTCTTCCAACATTTTATCAATTTTTTTGCTTCTTTGAAATTGTTCCAACTCATCAGGGCCATATTTCAAACGTAAAAAACAACCACACGATGACAGCACAGCCGCCATCTTTAGAATGTTAACCACGCCTTAAACATATAAACGTCATATCCGGTAAGATTATGGAATTAGAGTACAAATAGAAAAAAATACTTGTCACTTAAAGATCCCCAGTTTTATAAGATTATATTCAATGTGCTTATTTAATTCTAAATTGTTGTTTTTCTGTAAAATCCCTGTTTAATGTGTTTTTACTTTTTATAAAATATATTTCTAATGATGAACGCAGTATTACCGACCATAAACGCGCTGTGATGAAACATATCTACTTTCAAAAGTATGTTGAATGGGTGTAAATGCAATAAATGTGTGTGTAATATTTAAATCATTATTTATTCTGTGTTTTTTAGGTAAAGCTAGTAGATATGATAAATGGGATTGCTATGAAAACAAAAAGAATGACCTAATGACCCTTGCTAATCCAGAACTTGTTCTAAATGTCCGTACTTTCCAGAAAACGTAATTTTAGCATGCTATAATATTGTTGCGCATCTGCTTGTTTGTTAATTTCCGGTATAAATTCTTTCCA